TCCAAGCCAGGCTGCAATCTATTTCAGACGAAAATTAGAAACACTTAAGCTCATATTTTATCTCGCAGGGAAGCGCAGGTCAGCTCCAAATTCCTCCCAAGAAGAAGTCATTCTTTCAGGTGGGTCCCCAATAGGTTTTTCGGGATCCGGGATTTGGCTTATTTGAAGGCCGGGATTCGAGATTTTGAAGAAAAAGCGGGGACGATATTAGGGATTATATTTATGACCGGGACACGGGATTTGGCGATTTTAACAGGCGGGAATCGGGAAATGTCGCTTTAAAGAAACCGTGATTCGGGAATTCCAGAGTCTGAATACATGCAAAGAAAATCAAGCTGTTATCTTATTAACGTCGGAAATGGTCGGAAATAGCCGAACAATGACCTAGTTGACATCCACGTTTTCCACGACCCTATCACGCTGCTCTGTGACCCCCATGGTGATCTGTGGTCTATTTTCGTGAACCTTGGACACCTTGTCCGTAATGAGAATCCAATTTGACAATGTCTTGTCTTGACAATGTCTTGACTGTGACATTTATAGTGTCAAGTTCATACAGATTCTGATCAGTGCGCGTGGGATATTCGACGCGAGGGAGACTAGCCTTGGCTAGTCATTTGCGTAGTTAAACGCGCCCTAGAGATGTCGGTTAACACCGACAATGACGTAAATATACAATCAGACGTAAATATACAATCAACGTATGACTACTGTGCCGATAGCTTTAAATTATGATGGTAAAGCTTTGTGACTTCGTGGTTCGAAATATAAACGAAATAGGACGACAACTACCTAAATGAGCTACAAGAACGTAACGCTGGAAACAAAGAAACGACTATGTAGTAAACAAAAAGCCCAAAATAAATGGACAACGTGACGAAACTAAGATAAAATAAACCTAAAATAAATGTACAAGAACTTACTTTGGTCTAGCATCTAGAGGAGACAACAGCATGCACGATAGCAAGAAAACCTCTGGTAGATAGCCGTAGCTCATAGCCGATCGCAACTATCTCACTGAATACACTCACGTAAAGTTTAACCTGAAACCTAAAACCTAACACGTGTAGGAAAACAGAAAGAGGTCCCTACTGAGCGAGCTAAATAACGTAATATATTGACCAGCGAACGAAACGTCAAATAAAATTATTAACAGGTACCATTTAACACGTAACGAGTAAACGAAATATACAAAAACGCGTTTAAACCTAGCAACGTCAATGTCAGTATGGAACGTAGCTTGGAATCGGATCGATTTACACTTACAGGAGTGGTCATTATAACGTGGACGCTCTGCAGTTCATAAGGTTCATCAAACTCGCTGTCGCTTGTTACTTCTTTGCATCGTAAGCCAAACGGTTCAAATTTGGTGGACCAGTCGGTGAAGCGTTCACTGCATAACGCCTTCATAGGGGCCACTGCGTGTGAGGAAGATCAAGTGGAAAGACTCTACATATCACTTAACTAAACGTTAAAAATCAACACGTTGGAAATAACTATCGAAACACGATGCAGCTAGCAACGTTTATAACTTGACAGCGTCTTCCACTATTTACAAACGCAATCGTCTCGAGCTTTTTGTTGAATTTATTTTGTTAAAGGCCGAAAGATAAGCCTTATTAGTCTACATCATTTGCTGTTTGAATTCTTTTTTTCGTCATATCTATATAAACACTCACTATAAACTACTTTACCTGTTCTTAGTCCACCCTCACTCTTCATAAGGAGACGAATAACAGCAAGTTCAAAAATAGGTCCGCAATGCGTACATGTGTGGCTTACGAGATTGAGCTGCTTTAATAATAATAATAATAATAATAATAATAATAATAATAATAATACCTTTATTTAGATACGATAAGGTTTAAAGTTGAACAGCCTGTGGGGTCGTGTGTAAAGAAAAATAAACTCTAAATCAAATAAATACAAATGATGATGGTTTTCGAGGAGAGGGGAAAACCGAGCACCCGGAGTGTCTGATGTCTTATTGAGTTTCAATCAGAAGAGCTAATATCTGATTACGGTTAGATAGTTTTCAATATTGTTCCTGTTCATCATAAAATAAGATAACTGGCATAGAATAGTCCTGAAATGTTCATTTTCAAGATGAGGGTTAATGGCCAAACTTTGCTATGGAGGCCTCATTTTGACAAGAAAGGTTGCACATGTAACTTGGAGATTTTAAGAACTAAAAAAAGCCTCAGCATCAACTCCCATGGCGGCCTAATAGATTCAGTCATAATTTTGTTTACGTAAGAAAGTGGAATTGAGTTCTGAAGTTTGAAAAAAAGGCTGATAGTTTCTAAAGAAACTGTTTGGGGCTGCGTCGGTGGGGGTAACGAAACTATTTGGATATATTAACAAAGTTGAAATGGAAAATTGGCAACCGTAACGATTAAAAAAGCTGACGTTTTGAGAGCGAAGGGCTAACGCTTGAAACGTCTGCTTTTGTAATCGATATGGTGGCCAATTTACCATTTCAACTTTTTCGATATATCCAAATTATTCTGAAGTTTGTAGGTTGATTGTCTTTTCCAAGGCAAGTGATGTGAAATGAACTCAAGGAAAGCATTTCATACGAATATTTTTGGCATTTTGTGTACCAGTACACGAGGACAGAACTTGCCAGAAGGGCTGAAACGTTCGGGAATTGATGAAGTCTACACTAGAAGCCATTGGGAGCTTGATTTGGTTGGAATGTATGACTAGTTTAGCCAGTCGTAAATCCGCAAAAGTTACGGTAGTGGAATCTTCGTCATTAAAAGTAACTGCGGCGAACAATGATAAGCCCAGGCCCGTGAGGATAGTAGACAAAAACAGCCCTGCTGTTCTTGACGCAGGCGCAGTATCGTTCGGTGGCACGGGACGGGTATACCCCAGCTCGTATCACGGGACGGGTTATAACTCCAATAACAGCGCTTGGCTCTTGGAGGAAGACAAGAGGTGTAAGTATCCCAGACCTTTTCCTCAAAGAAACAAGCAGCCAAGTTGAAACAGGATTCTCTACGGAAACGTGTCGGAGAAGGGCGCTAAGCCAATGAATGCGTTTCAAAGGAGAAAGGAAACTAGGCAGGGATTTAACAATGGCGTAGCTGTTAACGGTTCTTCGGATAGCAAACGAAGTTAGTTATCAAACTGTTTTTTTATAATAAATGGTTGACCATCTGTTTGCAGAATCGAGCGAGTGAGATCGCCAGATTACTTGATGGTATCTTGTAGAGCGAAAATGGAACCTTAGGGTTTACGTTTGAAGCACCGTTTATTCTTAATCCGGAAATATTTGGAAAGGTTTCGGATAACCTTATTTACAAAGGTAGCCTCCTTTGCCGACGTCGTTTAGGGTCGTAATGCTGGAGGCTTCTTTCCCTCCCCTCCCTTATAATAAGTGTGGTGAAACTTGCCTTATTCGTAAAAAGTCAAAAGCGATGTTTGGAGGGGAAATTTTTGGGGAAAGCGAAGCATGCTTAGACAGCAAAAATGGACCTTTTGTATGATAGTCTGACAGGCTCGGTCATCGTGCAGTGAGAATGGATCTACCTGTCTGACTCTCATATACTCTCGGTCCTAGAAGCAACACGTTAAAAAGATTTTATGATAATTACAACTTAATTATGGACTACAAATATGAATTATATAACATAATATAAGAAACTAATTGTATTTTTGTGAAAAGTCAACCCATTTTTGAAAAGGAGATAACATAATGAAGTGTATTCAAAATTTTACTACCAGGCATAAATGTGGTTACCTTTTACTCCAAGAATTTATCGGTAACTGTATCCTCCAGTGACAAGCAGCCGGGGAATGAGAATTCGGTTACGGGTTTTGTTTTGTTTCAGTGTGTAACGCCAAATTTTCCCGAGTCATGAGTTCACTTTCAGATCTTGATAGTTTTGATTTAATTATCTATCTCGGCAAATATGCAATTGTCTGGCGTCAAATAATATTGATAGACCGTAAGTTACCTTAGCTAAGGGAAGAATATCTTACTTTAATGGGATATGTAAAATATTAAAATTCATTGTATGATGAGTATATTTTTGAAGGTGAATAACAATTCGGTGCCCTGGTCACTAGAATATTCATGAAATGTATTTAAGTTAAGTCTCTAATTTAATAGATATTCAAGAGTATTAAAGTCCTCTTAATGGAGGCGCTAGTATTTAACGATAAGATTTAGGCATAGATACGTTAGTCTTATCCGAATGGAGAACATCTATAAAATGCTCTATTACAGAATTTCAGTTCGGTCTTCATTGAATCTGGTTTAGTCGCACCCTGGTGTGTGAATTTTTTTTTATATTTTTATTCTTGCAGCGATGAAACCAAAATTTTGTTCAACGCTTGTTAGATCTTCATTTGTTCGTTCGTTCACTGAAAGTGATTGCTATCCATTTTTTCACTGCAAACTAGAAGGGCTCTGGAGTTTTCCTTTCGTAGCCACAACTTCTCCAGAACGTGAGAGCTTCTTTCCTACTAGCCTGAAGAGCAGGCGTAATTCTGATGAGCGAGCGCTTAATATTTAAATAGCGAAGATTATAGCCACCGACTTTGATTTTAATGGCAGCCGGCGGAAGACTACGGAGAGAAAGAATTTTGTTCCAAAAAATAAGGAGAGGGGTGGGTGCGGAGGAGTGGATATTGGTCTTCAACTTTCCCTGCCCCCTTTCCCCACCGTCACCTCAATCTCCAAATCAAACATGGCTGGGTGATCGCGAACTCCTTAATGTTTACTCGCACCAATAAGAAGCCTGCGCTGCAGCGCACTTTAATTTCCGACTGATTTAAAACCGCGCTTTACGTCTGTCTACAGTCACTCATAGATTTGCACTCGTTCATCCCTGTCGCCTAATGAAGAGGTAAATAATGAGCTTTTTCAAGAACCAGAGTGGAGTAACCTGGTGCGGTTACAGCCCCTTGAATCTCACATGAAGATACAAAAAATAACATATTTATTTCTTCAAGTGGCAATGACTGTTAAGACTGCAGATGGACTGTGTTAGACCCCATGGGGTTTGTTACTATAATGGTGAGGAAAACACTTTCTTTTTTTCTAGGCGGAATTGAAAAAATACGAAAGATAACCGGTTACAATACAACCAGGCTTAATCAGTAAACGGCTGCGAAATAACTCAAACTCACACCAAACCAAAAAAATTCAAATTCAATTTACCACTGTCCAACTCCAAGGTTTATAGAACTTTGAAACGTGGTTACTTGTTGACAAGATGTTCGCCGCACCTTTTCACGGTCTTGACAGTTTACGCGAACCTTTTTTATCTTCTTATATTCGATTATCGGTTTACAATAATCCGTTGAAAATCCCCCCAAAGGCGTCTTTCTCTTCAAAGTCTTGTTCACAGCTGTGGTATGTAAAACCGGGCTAATTAGTGATCGGAAAGTAACTGATGGCCATTCCTGTGTCAGCACATTTTGCCATCCTTTAATTTTATTAATTTAGGTCAAAACATCGTTAATCGGAAGTCATGTTAGCAGCCAATTTATCCCAGTTAATATTTCAAAGATTATCATAAAGGCCTTTAGACCTAACTACTTTGATCTCTGATGAATACAGAAGTTGCTCGTAAATACCAGGAGCGAGTGGCTTCAGTTTATTGTGCTTTTGAAGCTCAAAATTGACTTACCTCTCAGAAGATTTAGAACAGAAGAAAGAGGCAGAACAAGGACTGAAATGAAAGAAAAAAGGAATAAAAATTGATTTTACAGAATCTTCAAACACCTCCACATGCGACAATGTTAAAATATAAATGTCTTCGGGTCGGAGTTAATTTGAGATGCTTCCTTACTTTAAATTTTCTCCTCTACGAGAATAATGCGTTCATTTTTTCATAGAATTTCTTCATTTTTGTACGCTTATCGTTTAGTTTTGGCAATACCTTTGCTGACATCGCTGAGTACACTCGTCCTCGGTTGCTACCACCTTCCCTTTGTGTAAACAACTTCTTCCTAACAAGAATGGTGTATCAAACCTAGTTGAACTCAGAGAGCTTGAAAGATTGGTTTCGTTCTGTGTTTTCTTTTTCGACCTTAAAACGTTGATCTGTCCTCCAGATTTAGCAAAAACAGGCAGGATATTCCAATCCTCTACCTCCAGCGCATTATAGGGGTCCTCCGATGGAGATCTCGGCCTTGGACTCTGTTTCATTTTTCCACTGCTAGTGGGAGTTAGTTGCCCTTCATTCCAATAGCTGCTAGAAGTATTCTTTGCAGAGCCAGAGTAAACTGTCAAGTCAAAATCCTCTGCTCCAGGGATGGGTGGGGGTGGTGGTGCATGCTGTGAATATTTCCCCAACTGCCTATTAGATTGACTGTTGCCAAGAAATAAGGGAGCACCTGAGTTTACTTTTGCGTTAGATTCTGCTATGATTCGAGAGCTTCTAGGCATCGGCCTCTGGACCACAGATATCTTCTGACAGTTTTCTGGAGCAGCCACGTTGAAGTAGTGAGAATGCAACGACTTGTTCCTCTTTTGCCAGGAATGTAGCTCCTGTGGGCAGGCGGGAGGATCGCTTTCATCATTCAAAGTCAAGGCTAATTCATTTTCATTCCACAGCTCATCCAACCTAAAGCAAGGCAGCTCATCATCAACCTGATCTAAAGAAAGGGTAAAACAATTAAAATCCTAAATCTTAGATATTATTTGTTTCCCTAAGATTTTTTATTAGGCATCCGCGAGTTAAAATGGCCCTAGTAAGTGAATCAGTTGTATTTAAAACTAACTAGGGGACCCTGTAACATAAGGGTACTCCGTGCACAATCACGTTTGTACACGAGTTTGTCCAAATTTTAAGGAAGGTGTGTATCACTCTTGATTTTCGCAACCTTCTGAAAATTGAATTTGGTTCAGAAAGAAAAGTGTGAGTGTAAAGTCACATTAAAAAATGATTGAGTAGAATCCTATGGCCTTGCATTAAAAGAGAAAGAAACAAATATGCATTTATTGGTCCTTAAAATAGAAACAGTGAGGTAGCACAATGATACCATCATCTTTACTGGCATCCTTTTGTTCTTCTCCTTTTCTTAAATACCAGTCAACTTCTTCCCAACAGTGGCTACCCAGACATTCCTTCTCAGTAACCGCGGTCTCCTCATTTCTCCCCTCACCGGAGTCCATATGATGGTGAAAAGGAATCCTCCGCGTATAACCAAATATTTTGTCCAGAGTTAAATCCACAAAATTGGTTCCAACGGTCTCTGGCGCCGAAGACTTTAGAGTAATGATCATGAGTACACTTTTTGGTTAACTTAGACAACAATGTCATAAAATTGATAGTCAGAAAGTTACTGAACAAGCCTCTAATAAGGAGAAAGAATCTCTTTTAATGGGTGTTTCTCGCACATTTTCTTATTTTAGCCCCATAAGGTGGAATTAATTCTGCCGCAACTAGAATTTCTCTAAAGCTTTGAATAATTTTTTAAGACTTTAAAGCCACCATCTGAAAGAGTTCCGCTCTTGAAGCGGCACTAAATTCCAGACTGTATTCCCTTGAGGCATGTCGATTACTCTTGTTATCCTTTGCGGGGATTTGTCTGAGACGGTTCAGTTATTCCCGATAGAATTTTATCCATGTGCTTGCCAGGCGTTACTGGTTCATTATACCTCTTAAATGGTCTAAGTAAACTGTTCCAGTGGCAAAAGTTCAAATCTATAAGAACTGTAAGTAACAACTACAGGTAGTTACCTTTAGGCGTTTGGCTGGCGTACCAGGAATGGCTTGAGTTCTCATGTGAAAGTTTTTCAGGAAGGAATTCATATTTCCTTGTTCATCCATTACGGTAGTTTCCTTTTGATCATCTACAGAGCAAAGTACATTGATTCATTTGAACCTAAATAATCTTTTATGCTTTTAATGAGAGTGCTAGACTAATGAAATCATTGAGGATCAGTCAAAAGCGATAATTACCTATAGATGGTGTGCTCATCAATGGTAAACGATGTGGTCCTTTCTTCTGCTCCACCTGAACAATTCATGATACAAGTTGATGGTTAACAATCACTACAGCAACCGAAGTTGTTAAGCCCTTTTGTTATTTTCGCTTTTAAGAGGATGTGTCATTTTCTATGGAACTGTCTACTGAAGACTTGCGCAAGGAGTGACCTAATGTAACTACCGCTAACAATGCCAAAATTCACACATGCAATTATATGCCGAGGATTGGTAAGAGCAAGGTAGTTGGTGCAAACAGTGATGCGCCCAATTTTGTTGGACTGGAAAGAATATCGAAAAAACAACAACAACAATAACAACAACAATAACAATAACAAAAGAGCCGAGCAAAACAAAGTAGTCATTCAGGTCAACTTACCTCTGACTTCTTTTTCCTTTTCTTGGAGTTGCCGCCTTGTTTGCAGCATTCATGACCACAAGTGTGTATTATTAAGGAAGTTGTAATTGACACAGAATGAATACGATTCTTCGTTCCTTTGCTCCTAAACTATTAGCTTATCAATGTACAAAATGTGCAGGACCGAATAGTATAAATGACAACTTTTTGCATAAGAATGCCATTAACGGTGGATCATCATCCTTTATTTGTAACATTTCCACGAAATGACAAATAAACTCCGGGTATGTACTGATATGGACCGATGGCTTCTTTGCAAATAATTAAAGGTCAATGAAGGGGAAATATACGAATGATTTACTATCAAAAGATATACTTCCTTGTTGAGGCAACGATGACTGCAAGGGACCCTTGGCGTTCCTGCCTCGGATGTGCTGGTGCTGCTGTGCGACTCTAATGTGGTAGAAATGCAAAGTGTGTGAACACCCAGGAGAGGTTCGATGGTTTATAAAATCACTGTGCTAATCTACGGGTGGATGGGGGGAGGGGGAGGGGCTATTCAGTATTCTACTCTACGACTGAATTTAAAATTTTAGTCATGATAATGAAAGGAATGAAATGTAGACTTTGATCAGTTGTATTGATTATTCTAAAAACATGTTTGAATGTGCTCGTTTAAGACAGCTCGTCGACGTTAAAACAGAATTAAAGTGGATTCCTGTCGTTATTTTTTTTTTCCTTTTGCAATTCTCCGTTTTTAGGCGGATTTCATCCTAGCATCTACATTTTATTGGGTAAATAAATGAACGAATGAAAGAATTCCTTATTTATATTGCGCCCTTTCTATACAATATTCAAAGGCGCAGTATCCCCCATCAATTTCATAGACACTACACAAAGATAGACCACAACACCGGGCACTACGTGCCCTACTCTTTTCGAGCAATGTGTGGGTTCTTTAACGTCCCAGAATTTTTTCACATACAAGGGCTTGTGAGACGGGACCTCCATTTATCGTCCCTATCCGAGAATACTTGAAAGTCTAACCATTTGCAGATATTGTTACAAAGGCAGCACTTTCTTCTCAGTTATTTAAAGACCCTGAGTGTTGGTCCGGCCGGATTGGAACTCACCACCTCCCGCACAAGAGTCCGGCGCTCTACCAATTGGGCTAACCCGGAGGCGGTTAGCTCAATTGGTATAGCTCAATGGGTCCAACCACACCCTTAATTTAAGGATATTAAGTTAGCTCAATTGGCGGTTAGCTCAATGGGTCCAACCATATCCTTAATAAAATCAAATGATACTTTTGTGAATACATCTGATGGGTAAAGATCCAAATGGAAGATTAAATTATCAAATGATGGAATCATCATCTTAGGTTAACTTTTCCTTAAGACCTCCTCAGCCATGTTATGTATTTTGCTCCGTGACGGATGTGCGGGGCTGTATTTACTCCCTCCTCGTGAATCTTGAGAGAGTTTGAAATACGAGGACAAAAGTTTACCTAAATTGGAGACATTGTTCTTCACAAGCTTAGGAGCATACGCTTGTAGTTCATTCTTCATCTGATGGAAAAAAGTATCTGTATTTCAGTAGACCTGATTGCAAATCTTATGTCCCTTAACAGTTTACGACGCTCAGTAATTAAAATAACTCATAGATTTCTGAGATTTCTGCTCGAGAAATTAATCAGTAGAAAAAGGAGTATAAAACAGATATTACAGTGAACTAATACCTTGTCCATTTATCACTAGGTTTAAAACACGACGTCGTGAATCTGATGTCTAACCGTAATTATCAACTTAATGACTTGTTAACTTAAAAATTCAGTATAAGATTACTAAATTCGATTAGGGATATCAAAGTAAAGTCATATCTATGATTTGAAAATTGAGTTTTACATACGATAATGTACGGCCGTCCAACACTGTACTGAGGGGAAAACCGTTTACTCACGTCCAAACCGACTGAAAAAGAAATGATATGAAATTGAGTGCTTGTCCTAGTTATCAAAAATAAAAACCATGTCAACCTACAGAGCGAGTAATTTATCTCAATTAAGTGAACGTTAGCATTAACAGTAACATCGTTGGAAATTTTATAGATCTGGAGTAACTTTCAAAGAGGACTCATTTTAAGTCAGTACAGTCAGCAGAAGATGAAAACCTGGCGATGCAGCTCACAAAGGATGATCAATAACATATATAAAGCATTATAGATGCTTATAAGAGGCGAAGGAGAAAACAGTGCAAACATCGAACATCGAACATCGAACAATACGACAATCTAGGGAAACTTTATATATAAAACTGATAAGAAGCACTTTGTTGTATATCACCGCTTACGAATAAAAATTATTTATATTTTGGATCAATTTCAGCATCTGAGCGACTACGCACCCACCCCTCCCTAACCCAACAACTATTACTTGACACTGAAGAACTAAACTTAAGGTAAGGTTGGATTAGGAGAGGAGTAAGTGCATAGATGCCTAAATACTGGTATTGAAATCCCATATTGACATGTATAATGTATTTATAGAAAATAATAATAATAATAATAATAATAATATATTTTTATATTACCATATTCTTGACTGATAAGGTGTAAGTTCAAATCTGGAGACTGAGCAGCCGTTCGCTGTATATCGACTCTCTTACTCCAGTATCCCTCTTTCAAAAACACAAAATCTCTGTCGTAAAAACAAAGTGATGAGTTCAGTGGATATCTCATTGACCCAAAAATATAATCAACATCTTTAGTCAACCGTTACTTTTCCTATGGATAGAACTAAGAGAGGATATGACATTTTTTGGCTACCCTAATCTCTGTTTAAACACCACGTTGTTTTCGGTATCAGCTATCATCAGAATGCAGAAGTGGCTGTTTCTTCCTGACCCAATCGCATCTTTTCGCTTTATATAGTTCATCATAGTCACTGAGATCACAATCTCGGAACGATTTGGCTGATGTTTCCCTGTCTTTAACAAAGAAAAGTTAGAAGTGGATTAAGCATTGTTTAATATTTTTCGATATTAAGGTTGGTTTTACTCACGGTTTTAGCAAGTGAGGTTAAGGCAAATCATAAATTAACTGTCTGGCGACTAGTGGGAGAGGCTATGCAATCTAAAAACAGTATCTTTTCGAGTCCTTAATGCGTTTTTTTTTTTCAGAATCATCGTTTTACTTGCAAAATTATGTCTTTCAACCCTTATTTACCACCTATTTCAAAGCCAGTACTTTTTCAGCGCATCTATCCAGCTCTCGATCATTAGTTTGATCAACCTCGTATCTTCAGTCCACAGTTCTGGCATAAAATTGCACCACAATACAAGATGAGTAATGGTGGGCTGAAATTTATACCTGCTGAACGGAAACATCATACTTTGGTAAGTTTGAAGCTGCTTCCCGAATCTAAAGGCATAAAAGAGAGACATATTACACTTTAACAAGTGTTATTATTCATGGACCAAAGATGTATTAAGCTGATCATAACTACCTGACTACCGAAAGGTGGATGACGATTGACGATCTGAAAAGTAATTAACGTGAAATATTGAAGTAATGAGAAATGCTGTATCAACAATGAATAAATGAAACGGGATTGCCAAATAACTTGCAATGATTTTTATACCAATTCTATTTCTCGAGGATTTGTTTCTTCAATTTTCTTGAGGGATGTCAAGCCAGCGTTTACCATCATAGTCGACAACGAAGGTCCTAAAAACAGAATGATAATGATGCCATAAGAATGATTATAATAATAGTAATAACATAAAAAAGTTTATGAAGATGTAAAACAAAGCCTGCCGCAAGGGATGCTACAGGAACGTGAGTTTTACCCTTTATAATTTTAATCCATTTAAAAAAGTGTTAAAAATTGTCACAATGAGAGTCACAGGTATGATTGCAGATCCAAATTGCACAACGCGAAGTTCAATTACCACTTTATTACATCTATTTTAAAATCCCAAAATTCAGTCGCTCAATAAAATAATGTTTTTAATATGTACAAATACTTCATTGACCAGTATATTGAGCTGGCTTGTAAAAAGTAGCGAACGGGTGTGTCTCATTTTCCTGCAATTTGATTAATCTCTTTAAACAAGCCTTGATTGGTTGAAGTTCCCACGAGACCGTATAAGAATGTGTCATATCATTAGCGTGGACAGGGCAATGTTGAGAGTAATGCCAAAGCACTAAGAGCTGATTAACATACCAACTTTCTCCAGTTGCCTTGAGACAAATCTGGAATTCTCCCACAATCTATAACATAATTTTAATATTTCGAGTTTACCCCACAAAGTAGTCCTCTGTGAAAATTGAATCTCATGACATACGAAATAAACGGTCGTGAGAAGAAAAGCAAAACAAAAAAACTATCAAACAAAAGTTACCTGGCTCTCATACACTTCGCAAAAATGACTGAATTCTGAAGTGACATGAAACTACTTTTCAACATTTGTAGTTCAGTCAAACCTAGAAAGTGAAAAACTGTCGTTGAGTTTTTATATGACGTCTTTTTGGTGGAGATATTAGTCAACATGAAGTTATTTATTACTTTCAATACGGACCTCCGGAAATCTGTCATTACAGAGAGAAGCATATATTAAAGGTGGAACGAATGGGTGGATAGTGTTCATGTATGCATGTTTTCACAAAATTTTTCGTTACTTACAGCGAGTAATTCTTTGTCCGGCTCGAAAGATTTTCTGCTCAAAACAAAAACAGCAAGTTAGTGCGACAAAAAGAAAGTTGTCCCATTATAGGATTTAAAGAATTATTAAGCTGTCAAGCTATTTCATTTGTAGAAGACAGGTCTTTTAATTGTAATATTTCTGATTTAAAACGATATCTCCCATACATCTAATAGAGTGTATACTTGGATTACAGTTAAAAAAAGTACATTACGACCATTCAACCCTTCTATTCCCAGGATTGACTGACGTAAAAAAAAAATTAATTTCCTTATTACAAAAATACCTTTTCAGTCAAAAAGCTAAAAAGAGACAAAATAAAACTACACTGACGAAGTTGTTTTATTAAACACCAAAATATCAGAAATGAAATTATGAGAACATATGGCAGACAGTGCGTAGGATTGATTTTTAGATTTTGAAAGAGAAAGGGCTAATATGCACAGCTAACCGTAACATCTTGGCTCAGGGAGAACTCCGCTATTGGAAGTGAACCAAGTGTGGCTTGTATAAGGCTGAAAATGTGTAATTAGAATGTCATTAGAAACATTAATCATAAAAAGGTTTAAGAGGACAATCCAAAAAATGCAGCGTTCAATTTCTTACCAATTAACCTTTTGTTCCGTTGTCTTGATTCTTCCTTTGATCGGAAACCTTCCCGTGTTAAAAAAAAAAAACAAAACAAAACAAAACAAACAAAACAAACTTTGGAGCCTGCTGTTAATTGTAAATGATCGATGGGGAACGAAATAAAATTATAAACTTATACTCTAAAAGAGCTATTTATTACGAGTTATACCTTATTGTTTCGCTATTTTTGTCCTTGTTTAGAGTATTTAGTACTCGTTTTTCGTTCATTCGTAGCTTGACATCGGAAAATTCTCTGCACTTCGACACCAGATCAACCTGAAAGTAATTACGTTGCGCCTGTTTTAGCGCTTCAAGAAAAATATCAAGTTGCTCGATAAACGCTGTACGAAGACAGAATAAGAAAACTACTCACTATGTCACTAAGGCTTTCCGTTCCTTTGATGTTAAGAAACTGTTTCATGGAGTCGTAAGCAATATAATATCTGGCCATCAGACGACCTGGCTCTAAATAAAAACTCATATCATCGTTATCATTATTTCATTTTTTTAAGGGAAAAAAGGAGGTAAGGTCATTGAAACCCTCTACCTCTTGCGTAAATCTTTAACTCCCCCTTTATCATTCGAAATTCTCTGTGATAGCTGCTATATATTTTCTAGTAAATGAGTTTATCTAATTTGGTCGCATATCATGATTAGCTCACCAAGATCACCTGTTTTCTTATTACTGCTCTGAAATTGTGCGGTGAGGTCACAGGTGACTCAATTGTACGAGTTCATGGATACGGTTCTTACGAACAGTTCTTTCATTAACTAGTTCATCTTTCAGGCTCACTTTCTTGCCTAATGTTTTTATTGTAGATCACTACGAACATTTGTCTTAAAATTCACATACTGTGCTGTATTGCATAAAGACTGAACGTTAAGCATCGGCACCTGTGGGCATGAGATCAAAACCGTCGTCCATTTTTACCAGTCCAGCCTTTTCCAGTGTGTTTAGGCTCTTTAAACAAATATCTGCGAAAAAATCAATCCCAGCTAAGAAATATTCCTTGCTAGAAAATGGATTTTCTTAAACGTGAGTGTTTTAGGATTATTTATGTTTGAGAATTTTGGAAAAAGAAAAAAAATGCATTATCTTATTTCTGATACCAGAGAGCCTAAGGCAGCAATGGCTAATATTGCTTGAAATTATTTTTTCATAAATAGAAGGTTGCAATCTTCTTCCGTAGCATGTAGGCCTATATCACACCAAACTAGCCCAGAATAACTCTCCAATTTATCGATAAAAACTAAGAGAAAACAAGGCAAAACAAAACCGAACAGCAAGCAGAAAAAACACTAGCAGAAAAAAAAAAGCAAGAACCAAGCACGAAAAAACAAAAGCTGAAAATCAAACACGATAATAATCTATTATTGTAAAACAGCTGTGTTACAGACTAATTCGAGGAACGCTGTTGTGGATATACCTTGTAACTTTTGTTCCAAGCCTTCTTTCTCAAGTCCCTGAGGTATCCCTATGATAAGGTGAACAAGAAAAAAAAAGTATACTGAGGGAGACACCACATGAAAAAGTTTTCACCAAGAGAAACATCTTTACGATAACATACTTGCAAATTATTGTATATTTGATTTGTTGTTGTTAAAATACTGCATTCTCAATTCTCTGTTATAATTAAGCGGAGAATTTTGATATGGCGAACCATCACTCTACAGCTCTGTTCACTTCACACCTCGTCAGATGCTGAATTACAATTGACTATACCTTTAATACACTTAACCAAGACTCTATAATCTCTTGACTTACCGTAGTGTGTTGGATTCTTTAATATTCTTATATACAAGAAGGTGGACTTCAACCACCCTAAAGCAATAGATACGTCTGTGATAGTGTTGAGGACGATTTCTGCGTTCAAGTGCTCAATAAGATGATGGTGCAAGCTGCAGTACACAATTAACCATTGCTCAATCAGTAAAAAATGTACAAAGGGTTGGTTTACTCCCCTTCACAGAGGACTTGAAGCAAATATCACGAATAAGGGGGTATCAAAAAATCACAATTTGTTTGACTGCTGGAACAGTAGACAACAAACGATGAACACTAATAAAATAAGCAATGCAGAAGAGAATAAAATCAATCAGAAATAGAAGACGAGTAAACATGCTCTAGATTCTCTACCTATTATAAATAAGGTAAGCATCCTTTGTGCACGTGTAAGAATTCTATTCTTTCTGCACAAAAAAAAAGCACTACAGGTCTAAGCCATATATATTGACGGAAATTTGTTCTTATAAATCGCAATCTATACGCATCATATCGACAAGTCTAGTAAGCTTTACATGCAAACATACCTGCTTTCCAATTTCTGAGTTCCTTCAAGAAGGCCGGTGTACTTTTCCTGCAAAACAAATTACAGCATAAAAAGAGAGATAAAGGGATTTCGAATGAAAGTTGCTCCATCAATAAAAAATGGTTATAGACGCGTAGGATGTAATAGCGTGGGGGTCTTCAATGTATAAAATGAATTTGCTGTCTTAAAGGTGACCGTTTAAAAGACATGCATAAACTGAATACACAGGAAGAAGAAAGGATGTCGAGATCCACTTGATAGAGGTGACCGTTTACAGAGATTTAATTACAGGACATATGGGACGTGAATTTAGAGGACTTAGTTAAAGACCGCTTGATAAAGGGTGCTTCACGTGATTGGTTAATTTTTTTCAGTAAACTTGGCAACAGTTTCAGTAACGAAAAGTCAGATAATTTCACTGATTAAATGATTAGAAAACCGCGCGCACCTTATCAATTACCTCTGTGACGTCAATTGACAAAGATACATTCAAACCCTTCACGCCATTTGCGACTATGCCTTTCGTCACATTTTGGCAGGCATTTTTCGCTGTCAGTGAAATTATAACGGGTTTTATCGGAAGAGATGACAAGGATGCTTCAAGCGACGGAGTTGAAGGAAATCTGTC